CAAAATTTATTATACTATTATATCTTTATATATATATATATATATATATATATATATTTATTTATATAAGTAAAACCTTGGGGTGATGAGGTGACACCATGAGAATTATAAAATTTAAAATCTTACGGTGATGAGGTGGAATATGGATTGGTGCATTTGTGTCGATTCATGGAGTTTGCTTCAATGGGTATACATATATGTATATATTTATATTTTATTTAATTTTTCGAATTATTTGAATACTATTTGTTGATGATTTTATTAACAACTAATATATATTTATAGACAATATCCAGATCATTAATCAAAGTACTCATGTTACCGCGCAACGCGCGGTTCCCATACTAGTTATTATATAAGACCAAACCAAGCCAACGTGCTCAGCCGAGCCACATCCTACCCAATACCACTCGAGCGCCCCCTCCTGCTTAGCCTAGCTACATCCTATAAGCTTAAGCATAGCTACATCCTATAAGCCACACACTGTAGTCTGCTGCCCCAATCTTGTGTCCTCACAAACTCTTGTCACAGGTCATGTCATCGGAAATGCCCTTGTCTTTTATGTCTATCCTTAGTTTCTCACCACACGTCCTTCTTGACCCGCCCTTCTCCTCGCCCCTCGACCGTCACGGTTTCTACCCTTCTTATCAAACATGGTCCGACCACATGTCAGTATTAGCCTTCTCATTTATGCAAACTTCCAACTTCCTCTTATGGTTATTCCTTACACACAACACTCCAACTCATACAATATAGCCGGGTCTGAAAGTCATCCTATAAAATCTTTTTTTTAATTTAATGGGACCTTTACAAACACCTCTGTCACAGCCTTCCACTTCAATCTTCACCATTTCAGTCTTGATTTCTATCCCCTTTTCAAGACACTTTCCACTAGGAATTCACCAAACAGATTCAGTGTTAGATCGGCTAATAAGCGGTCCTTGTGTTCTCAATGACGCCTCCACTGCTCCAACCTCTCGTTTGCAGTAATGCCCTCTGCCCCTCCAACTTCTTGTTTCCAATAATGCCCTCCACTCCTCCAACCTCTAAGAATTATGTGTGTACATCTATACTACATTAATAAGCATTTAGACAAAAGTCTTAATTACAAGTCTTAAAGCATAAAGTACATTTATGCAAGAGATTCAAAAATCTCTTAAGTACAAACTATTATGCATAATATATAAATGCTTAAAACATACCATTTGTTTGGTCAAAGATTCAGATTTAAGTAAGCCATATTTACATGAAAAAAATATGTTTGTTGTTCCCAAAGTTGTTTGCCACTTTATTTGTTTCCTATTTTGAACCCACATTCAAAGTTTTTATTTCTCTTGAAGTAAACTGAAATTTGAAGCAACAATATCAGAAAAAGTTTCAGATCATGCATGTACTGAATACTGATGTACCCTACCCCAACCCTTCAACTTTATATGGGTTTACAAACTTAAAATGTTAGCAATTATTTTTTCAATCGATCTTGTTTATATACCATATTAACCTTCAACTCTATATATTAATTAACTAGTAAAATAACCATACAAATTCATGATTCAAAACTAAATTAATATTTCAGCATGCACAATACACAATTAAAATCTGAGACACATTTCAACAATCCAAGATACCCTTTTGAGTGTTTGACTTTTTGGTCAGTTTTCATGATCTCATGCATACATACAAGCGGAACCTCTGCCCCTTTCTCCCACTCGGTTCACATACCCTCTAATTTTATCTCCCCTTTTCTCTAAAACCGACCCAAAACCCTTCCCCTTGTTTTCATAAAAAAAAACCCACAAATTTCTTGTGATCTTTCCCCCCTGTTTCTTGAGAAATTTGTGTTTTTTGTATTGCTTTCGTAAAACCCAATTTGGATAGAGAGTAAGAAATGGCAGAAAAGGGGGGTGGGGGTGGTTCTTTATTAGACGAACGGAGGTGTAAAAGGAGCGACGGCAAGAAATGGCGGTGCCAGCGGGTGGTGATGGAGGGGAGGACTCTTTGTGAAGCGCACTTTCTTCAAGGTCGTCATCGTCAACATAAAAAACCGGTTCCTGATGATTTGAAGCTCGAGAGACAAAAACGATCTCGAAGAACTAAAAAATTCGAAGAAAACCCTACTGAGAAAAGTGAAATTAGGGTCAATGGGAATGTGGGTTGTTCGAATTTACCCCAAAAAAGGGGTAAAAGGAAGAATTTGATTGACGAAGGAAACCCAAATGAGAATCTCGAAATCAGAACAAAAGGGGTTTCAGGTTCTTCAAATCGACAAAGGAAAAGGGGAAGAAGAAGCCAAAAGGAGATGAAATCATCTGTGGATATCTCTGAGGATCTTGATGATGCTTTAAAAAAGATGAAATTGAAGAAGGGGGATTTGCAATTAGACTTGATTAGAGGGTATTTAAATAGACAAATTGAGAAGAAAAAAGGGAAGCAACCACAGAAAGAGGATATAGTTAAAGAATTGAAGTATGGAAGATTGGAGATTTCACAGTCTTCACCATTAACAACACCCACCACATCAGTCAACAATGGAGGTCTTTTGAATGTTAAAGTTGGGATTCCTGCATCCACTTCTGTGCCCACAAGGTTTTTCAGGTCGAAAAACATCGATCGGCTTCCTATTGCTACAATGCAGGTTGTTTTTCATTGCTTAATTCACTTGGTCTCATACAAATTGTTATAAATTTTTAGTTTGCTTATTTAAGTTTCACGTTTTAGGCTGTTCACTTGGTTTTTATGTCCAAATTGTTACAATGCAGGTTGTTTTCACTACATATATTTGCAAAGTTTCGTGTAATATGTCTAAATATGTTTTTTTGTAAGTTATGAGTCACGTCCAGGGGAAAACCACAAAAAATAATAATTGACGAACACCTTGGTAACCATTAATCTAGACAGTATGCACATGTGCATAAAAACCAACAAACAACTGCAATTACTTGTATGCACATGTGCATACTGTCCAAATGAATGATGGTTAACAAGGTGTTCCTTAGTTTTTTTTTTTTTTTTTGGGTTTTCCCCTAAACCTTCCTATAGGTTATAATCCAAATTCCATGTATTCCATTTTGTTATCAGAGCTTTGATGTTCTTTCTTGAGTTTAGCTTTTGCCCAATTTGTTATCTTTGTTTTCTTGAAACTGATTTGTTATTAGTTCCTTTTGAATCTTTCTATCTAGATTTTACCGAGTATAAAAGCTAATGTAAAAGCCACAACAAAGAAGTGCCATTGGTGTTCATTGGGTAGCTATCGTGTTCTTGTCAAGTGTTTGACTTGCAAAAAGCAGTTCTTTTGTGAAGATTGTATCCGTGAAAGGTTTGTTTTATTCTCTCATCATTTTTAGTGCTTATTATCATGATTTTGGATCTCAAAAGAGCAATGTGTGCTAAGTATACTTGCTAATTCATATGAAGATCATAATCTGACTCGACATGTTTGATTAAAAAACCCAAACCAAACTAACCCAATGAATCCCACATGGAGTAGGGTATGGGGAGGGTAGGATGTATGCAAACCTTACCCAATTCCACATTAGTTATGATTTTGGATTTGTAGTCCCTCTATAATCCCTTGCTATCGGGGAATACAAATCACCCGTCCCCAAACTCTATGTCCCCCTCCCTATCCACTAATCAACCCCTGACACATCATTACTTTATTGAAGATCTTTAACCACAGTTTTTGTGAGTGATCCCTTTCAAGATCGTAACTTTTTCTTCAATTATGCTTAATGGTGTTTAAATAAATTAAGGACATTAAATCAAATTTGGTTGTTTAAATGGGTTTAGGTATCTTGATAAGGCAGACATCAAGAAACGATGCCCTGTTTGCCATGGAAATTGCAGCTGCAGAGTCTGCATAAGAGGAAGATCTAAAGAAGTCAAAACAAAGGTTCGGGTCAAAGCTCTGTATGCCAATTTAACGTCGTTTTTACATATACTAATAATCACTCTACTTCCTTTCTATTTTAGGATCTCATTGTTTTTAATGGCGAAGAGAAGTTTGATAAAGCTCAACAACTTCTTTACATGATCGATTTGCTCCTTCCTTTGCTTGAACAAATAAATCAAGAAAAGATCATCGAGCTAGAAATTGAAGCTAAAATCAAAGGTAGAAGATCTTATTTCTTGTTCTTTTTTGTATGGAATGATTGAAAATGAGAATTGAGTTGATGGTTTTTGATAACTTCAGGAAAAGACCATAGCCAATTAGAGATACAGAATGCTACAGGCTCTCAGAAGCAGCAATGCTGGTATGCTTTTTAAATACTTCTGTTCGTAAAACAAATTACTCCCTTCCGTCCCAAAATAAGTGTCACCAATTCCTATTTGAGTTTGTCCTAGAATAAGTGTTCATTTATAAAAGCAACTTCTGACTTTCCAATTCTACCCTTAATTATGAGAGAGAGAAATTAAACTCCCTCTATTATTAAGGGTAAAATTGTCATTTTGTTAATCAACAAGCGTACTAATTACACATTTCTAAAACTATGTGCCTTTTCATGGCCGGGGGTCTTTATAGAAAAGGCCTCTCTACCCCGTGGGTAGAGGTATTGACGGCATACATCCTTTGATTTTGGTTGATAATGTTCTTCCTATTTTGTCAAGTTTCAAGGGTATTTTAAATAGGGCAAAGGGCATCAAAATGCAACAAAGCTTGGTTTAGTTTCTATTTTGTGTAACCAAGATTCTTTTTTCTCAATCGATGTAATAAAGTTTCAAAATTTCCTATTTTATACCCATTTTGATCGATAGCCCATTAATCTTTTAGCATTTAAAGATGCGGATAGGGGTTTATGAAAGGGTTACATCAAAGTGAACGATGAACTTGACATCAACGTCATCAAATGTTACAAGACCAGCAGGTTATCGGTCATGATGGGTGAAAAATAGGAAAATTTGAAACTTTCTTACATTGATTGAGAGAAAAAAATATTTGTGAACCGAGGCAAACTTCGTTGCATGTAGATGTCTTTTTTCTTTTAAATTTTTTACTAACGGCCAAATGTTGCGATTATGCGGGTTGGAACCATTATACCTTTTTATCTGGTGCAGCAGTTTTTGCAAAGCTTGTATTGTGGATGTTCACAGAAGCTGTGGAAATTGCTCCTATATTCTCTGTTTATCTTGTTGTCGGGAGTTTCGTGATGGACACTTACATGGGGGTCTTAGAAATTTTAAATATACAAAGACAGATAAAAGAAAGTCTTTGTGCACAATATTGCGGAATTGGAGTACTAACGAAGATGGAAGTATAAAATGCCCACCAAAGAATTTAGGAGGTTGTGGGGACGGCATTCTTGGATTATTTTGTCATCCACCTGTTAATTGGACTAAAGATCTTGAAGCAAGAGCGAAAGAAATAGTTTGCGCCTCCAAGATTACACAATATTTCGAGGTTGATTCTTCTCGTTGTGCATTGTGTGACGAACAAGACCACCGTGAGGGCAAAAATGAGAGTGAAATCTTGATTAACAACAAATGCTTGTATTTCTCAATCCGGCAAGATCTTGGGGACAAAAATCTTCAACATTTCACAAAGCATTGGGTCAGAGGTCAACCTCTTATTCTTCGAGACATGATCAACAGTGAATCGGAGTTGAGTTGGGATCCAATTTCTATGTTTTGCATGTATCTTGAGAGGAGTGCAAAATCTCGAAATGACAAAGAAGTAAAATTGAAAAATTGCTCCGATTGGTGCGAGGTGCAAATTGGTAGGCAGCAGATTTTTATGGGCGGTAAAACGCATGCGAATGTGTGGCATGAGAAGTTGAAGTTCAAAGTCTGGCTATCTTCCGGATTCTTCCAAGAACACTTTCCGAGTCATTATGCTGCTGCGATGCATGCTCTACCTATTCAACAGTACATTAATCCGTTAACGGGTATTCTAAATTTGGCAGCTAACATGCCGCCAGAAAGTCAAAATCCTGACTTGGGTCCTTTTGTTTATATCTCGTATGGTAGAACCGAAGATCTTATGGGCGCTGATTTTTTGACAAAGTTATGTTATCATGCATATGATATGGTACATATCTAAATGCTCCGTTAGAATTTCTATGAACTTCTTTTCTTCATATTTTATGGGCACGTTTGGTACGTAGATGGAACTAGACATGATTGGACGGACGAGAGTGAAGTAGGTGAGTGAGAGAATTCTGGAAGGTTTTAGGGTTTTAATTTGACATGGGTAGTTTAGTAATTTACCAATCTTTGTTCCATTTTCTTGATTTTTGTTTCACCTATTTTGGTGGGACAGAAAAAAAAAATGCATTTTTGTCCTACTTAGGTCTGGTCTTGTCTTGTCTTGTCTTGTCCCCGTCTAATGTCATTCCAAACGTGGGACAACATGTTTTCGTAATGTCATGTCTCGTCTTGTTCCGCGTACCAAATGGGCCCTATGAGACCAAGCATATCGTTTTTGATCTTTTTAAACCATTTTTGCACCAGGTTAATATTCTCGTGCATGCTACGGAACTTCCGATTTCCGAGAAAAAGCTCAATAAAGTAAAGGTCTTGTTGAACAAATACAGTTCACAAGATCAAAACGAGTTTTCGGAGAAGAATAAAGCAAAGAACGAAATGAATCAACCATGTGGGAGATCATCGTTTAGTAGCGAAGTAACTCAACAGTCGGAGTTGGAGGATAACACGAAAGGAGAACTCACTCAAATACCTAACGGTAACCCATGTGCGTTCTCTGATGATTCAAGCATCAGTGAGTCGGATGATGAAGATTTATGTCATGATGAGTCGGGAAGTTCAAGTTGTAACAAACGGAAACCCGTTGATACTTGTGGGGCCCAGTGGGATGTTTTTCGAAGACAAGATGTTCCAAAGCTTGTAGAGTATCTTAGAAAGTATTCTAACGAGCTTAACCAATCCTATAGCTCCCCCAAGAAGGTATCGTTTCAATTGGGTGGTATTTGTTTTTTAAGAGGTGCTGAACTTTGAAGTCTTATTTCACTTCTGATTATTGTACTGCAGGTCATTCATCCAATTCTTGATGAAAACTTTTATTTAGATGCTTTTCATAAAAAGTATCTTAAGGACGAATTCGGTAAGTATTATCCTCACGTTTTCTTTTCAAGTCGGTTCTAAAAGATATATAAAGTAGGGTCGAATTTTATTTTCGTCGTGATCGTCTTATTAATACTATTAACTAGATGTTGAACCATGGACGTTTGAGCAACAAATTGGTGAAGCCGTTATTGTTCCAGCCGGTTGCCCCTATCAAGTAAAGAAAATTAAGGTATATTTGCTCACATTTTTCATAGGCCGGTGGCGTTTTCATAGAAACAACTATTGTACTCCATGGGGTAGAGGTTAGGCTTGCGTACACCCCCTGATGGGCGGACCCCACCTCCGGGTGGGATATACTTGGATAGTTTGGTTTAGCTATTTATCAAATACGTAAAATACTCTTACTAAATGAATCTTTTGGACCTAATACTATAAATTTATGGGAAATTGACTTAAATAGCCTATCCCATCAACCAAATTCACTTTTTAGCCACTTTTCAGTGCCTCTTCAAAATAGCCAGCCATTACGCACATGGCATTTGCGTAAAGACTGATTTATGGAGAGAGAGAAAATGAAAAAAAAATCCTTATGCATATGTGTAAGGATTTTTTACGCAAAAATTTGAATCCTTATGCAAAAAAATCTCTTTTCTTTTTTTAATCTGAAAATCGAGTTTACGCAAATGCGCAAGACATTTGTGTAAGCTCCGGCTAAAATGGGAATTCAATTGAAAAAGTGGCTAAAAAGTAAAGTTGGTTCTCTGTTTTGGTCAATTTTTCTTAAATTATTTGCAATATTGCAAAATTATAGGACTTTTTACAAGTTGGGGTTTTTACGAAAACAAAATTCTCTACTCCTTGGGGTAGAGGTGAGGTCTGCAAACATCTTACCTTCCCAGACCCTACTCTGTGTGGGATTTTCTTGATTCGGTTTATCCCAGAAAGGACAGTTTTGTAGGTTTCATGAACCGGAAGGAATACTAGAAAACTAGTTTTTTCATATTTTTGTTTAACATTAAGTAATAAGTATTATGGCGTGTGTGATTGTTGATCGTAATACATCTTCTTGCAGTCGTGTGTCAATGTGGTTCTTGAATTCATATCACCGGAAAGCGCATCGATGGGAACCAAGTTGAGTGATGAAACCCGTCAACTTCCTGTAAATCACAAAGCAAAAGGAAAAATGTTGGGGGTAAATATTTGAGAACAATAGTTTGAAGTTTTTTTTTTCCTTTTAAAGATGTTGGTCCGGAGAACGGGACTAATATGTGTACGTTTTTTCAGGTCAAGAAAATGACCATTCATAGTGTAAATGCTGCGGTTGAAGAATTCCGTGCGGTTTCCCAAGCAGAGAATGAGTCTCTTCTATTCACAAACCTTAGATTTTTGCTTTTTGAGTCTCGACTGTTCTTGTGCGCATTTGTTACTGATGCATATCCGTATTTTTTTTTCAATTTTAGAATCAGTGACAAAGTCGGGGAGTAGAGATTGAGAGCTACAAGTGAACTTGGCATCCGATCAAATTCACCATGTGATTGTAAGTGGCGTGTTTTTTATTGTGTGTTTTGTAAGGGTGCGTTTGGTATGTGAAAAAGATTAGACAAGATTGGTAAATTACTAAAATACTCGTGTCAAAATTGAAACCTGAAACCATCCACAATTCTTTTACCTTCCTACCTGAGTCCCATCCGCATGCCAAACGCACCCTAATGCCGTTTTTAAATTTTCATTTTAACATCAAGCAATCGAAAATCTACAGATATCAGAAGGGGGCAAAGATGCTCGGTGTTCGTGATTTAGTGTTAAATCAACCTATCGCTCTGATGATATGAACATGGTATCAAGAACAAAAATGAATTAGTACATTATTTTTAAGTTAGATTACCAACTTTGTATGTGGCATTTAATGCTTTTATGTTTTATCGGAAAAGTATTTTCTTTTTGCAATATTTAGTGATTTTTCATTTCGTATATTCCATTATTCTTGCAACAGTTTGTTTTCTAGCAAAGTTTCAATCGTTACCTTTTGTAAATTGTTGTTGATATAGAATTTGGTCCAAAAATGCTGGTTTTTAGACGCCCGATTGATGGTCAAATACTTCTTTTACTAAATGTTGCAAAAATATTTACGAAGGGAGTATGATTATTTTACAAGATTTTAAAGAGTTCTTTTCTAAATATGGGGTTTTGCGTATGTGGATTAATATTGGTACAATTTGAGTATTATATGAGAATAGTTAAATTTCATCCACGAAGAAATATTGTTGCAACCACAAGGGTTGTCGCGTAGTGGTTGAGGTCTTGGGGGATGTGGTGGAATATCCCATCTGCCTAGAGTTCGATTCCAGACGTAGACAACAGTTGTGGCCATTGAGTTTATCTGGGTTGATTTCTTGCAGCCACAATTTGCCGGGTTAGTTCAGGCATAGCTTGGGACACCCTTTCGAGAAAAGAAATATTGTTGCTATGTAACTATTACACTACTACGATGCATCATCTAGTTATTTCTTCGTAAATCTTCTAATATGATGCATCATTTAGTTTAGAATATATGTCGACATTCACTTGCTTTATTTGCAATAAATTAGCCGATCATCGTCACACACACACATAGAGAGAGAGAGAGGGAGGTTCAGGGAAAACCCAAGAAAGAACGGGAACTGAGGAACACCCTGGTAGTTTCATCATCTGCATCATATGCATATGTTGTATGCACATGTACACACCGTCCAGATGAACGTTACCACCAGTTTTTCATTTTTTTTGCAGTTTTCCCTGAACCTGACCCTATATATAACATGGATCCTTTGGTACACTCATGCGAATCCCTTTTCACTATAGAAGCTATATTATGTGCTAGTGAAGTTGTCCAATTTAGTTCAAGATGAGAGCTTGACTAGTGAAATAGCCACTATACTCTTGAGGTAGAGACCAGGTCTGCGTACATCTCATCCCCCTCACTTCACCCCCTAGGTGGGATATACTTCTATTGTTTGGTTTGGTTTTATGAGAGCTCAACTATTCGAATAATAGACATTGAAACATACCAAAATTAGAACATAAAAGTTTCCAATCAAGTATAGCGACTAATAAGACCTTAATGATCTTAGGGGTAATATCTGTTTGGTTGGTTTTCCACCAGTCCTGTACGGATAAAGCTGATTGTGTTGATTAATGTGTCTATATGGATTGAGAGGGTTTTTCACAGATGTAAGGAGTGTGTTTTTAAATTGGGAGGGGCAGGTTTGGAAAAACTTGGCTTTCTACATAAAGCTCCTCTCTAGAAGCTTATTGAATAAGCCACTTTTTATATCATTAAGCCACTACAAAATAGTCATGTATAGCTGACCGGATAAGCTATGAGTGCCATTAAGCTCATTAAGTTGTTAACAAACACGCCTTAGTTGCATATACTCTTGAAGCCTCTATTGTTTCTTTTGCTAAATTTATATTAGTTCGTTGTTAAATTCTAATGCACTTAATTACGTGATATTTCCTTATATGTTCTACTAGTTTTAGTAGAATCGTTTCACCTATATTCTCTTCTTTGTTTACCGCCTCGAGTTGTCATCTTTCTGATCTCTAGTGCATAGATCTATATCTAGCTCTTCATTTAGTTAATAACTTAATTAGTCTAGTGCGTAAAAGAGGCATAAATTAAGATACTTCCTTCTTACCATCAAATATTGATGCTATGTATATATATCTATGTTTTTTGGTTGGTCTTCCAAGTCCTATATCGATAACGCTGACTGTGTGGATTAATCTGTCTGTATAGATTGAGAACGTTTTTGTTGCGGAGGGTTTTTTCATAGATGGAAGGAGCGTGTTTTTAATTAAGAGGGGCAGGTTTGGAAAAAAAACTTGGCTTTCTAGCATAAAGCTCTCCCCTAGAAGCTTAATAAATAAGCCACTTTCTATATTGTTAAGCCACTACTGAACAGTTATGTATAGCTGACCGAATAAACTGAGTCCCATTAAGCTAATAGACAAGCCCTACGTTGGATGTTTCAACTTTCAACCACCATTGTTCCCATTCAATATTGATGAACGTTGGTTCAAATTTCTTTTGAGGATCGTTTAGGGAGTAGAAACGCTTTCTTGACTAGAAACGCTTCTCGTTTGTTGATTTGTGTTCACATGATATTCATTTTCTTTCGTCAATATCAAGAAAGAACGATCTTTTTTGACATATTGTTGAGTAAATCTTGTCGTTTAGATTATTAGCATGTAGGTATCTCGTGATTTTATCTGGATCTTCGGTTAAAGAAACACCTGAATTGATCTTTTGTTATAGGTGTTTCTTGATTCACATGACGGAGTTCCAAAGAAGCGCTGCAACGGAAGTGTGTTCTATGCTTGAAATTGCTCTTCAAATGGAAGTTTCAAGTCAAAGTCCTTCACGAGGACTTTTGAATCACGATGAAGCTGAAATCGGTGATCACCAATGAAGCTTGAACCTAGCAAAGAAGAGCCAAAAGGTACGCGTTTTTTGTCCTTTTGACTTTCAAAGTCAAACTTGTATTCGCCAAAATCATATTTATTATATATCCTTTTATGTTTTAACACGAATTGTGTTCGTATTCACAACACATGAATGAGAACCGATGGCATTATTTTTAAGTTCGTTGGAATTTTAAATAACCACCTTTCCTTTTCCGGTTCTACATTTCACTTTGACCAATCTTAAGATATTGCCAAAAGGATATATATTCATATAGTGTCAGATTCAGAGGAAAACCTCAAAAATTTGAGAGACCGAGGAACTTGTTAGGAACCGTTTATCTGGACAGTATGCACATGTGCATGCAAGTAATTTGTAAGCAATGTCCGGTATGCACATGTGCATAACATGCATATGTGCATAAAAACCAAGAAACAACTTCAATTACTTCTATAACCGGTCAGATCTGCATACAACCCACCCGACACCCCAACGTTCAGGCGGGATATACTGCGCATGTTTGGTTTGGTTTTTTGAACCATTTGTAACGTTCTTTTATTGCAGGTGACGAGAGGTCTTCATCTTCTTGTTTAGCAGCATATGCTCGTTTGTAACTCAGATTCTGAATCAAAGAGGACACGAGCTTTATATTATAATCACATGAAAGCGCACATCTTTGTTTTCACAAGCCGATCCAACAGGTTCACCATGGACTCCATTTTCGTCCTCCGTCGTTGCTGTAGAGTTCTGTTTCGGAATCTCGGGCGTTTTTCCGCCATTTTTGACAGCTTAGTTCTTACTGGTGTCGAAGAATCACACCTAATGTCATTTTTTTTAGCTCCAAGATTTGATGCATTCTAAGGATGATTTTAGGTTTCAGATGTGTTTGTGTTTCTGTTTTTTTTTTAATTATATAATATTTATATACGACAAATAAAATTCACACTGTTGGAACCCTCTGACCTTATTGGATACCGTTAGACCAAAGTCTAATTACCATCGGTTACACTATTTTTTACTGGACTCGTTACCCTTTTTTGATTGGTTACCGGGGTTCGGTTACAAGGACCGGTTAACCCTTTTTCGTCTTAATATGGCCGCTTATTTTTGTTTACCATTTTGCTCGAGTCTAAATGCATGTTCGAGTTGGTGGTTTATTTACACAAATTGAAGTACTCTGCCAAAAAAAATAAGCAATTTATAAACGATTTAGGTTATGAAACCGATTACTATTTTTTTCGAGGACCATTAAGGACCAGGACCAGGACTAGACCGGTTACAATTTATATGCCCAAGATGCACCTAAAGTTCCGAATTGGCCACTGGACCAAAAGACCGGTAACCTTAGATGTCTAGACCACCTTGTGCGTATCTCGCCAATTTCATTGGACTCTAAAGATAACGGCGTACTTCAGCAATTTCATTGGACTCTAAAGATAACAACGAGAAAAAATCTCTAACATCTTGAGAGGAATCCAGAACAACATAAACGAAGAAAGGACGTCTTTATCGTATATTTATTGCTACTATTGTTCTTTCATGAACTTACACCTTCATCGACAAAAAATTTCCCTTTGGAAATCGTTCGATTGAACGAATCAATATATTCTTGAAACAACTATCAACACGTGGTTTTACAAAATCTTTTTTGGAGACCGAGTATCGTGTTTATGGAGCCATCAATCCTTCGATCGTGTAGGTTAGTGACTTTGCCCAATCTTCTTTTAGTAACAACGTTTGTAGCGTATGCATAACATCATAATCCGGATCCAACTTCCTTTGCCAACCCTGCAAGAATGCAATAAAACCAGAAGGTCGTTGGCCGAACAATATTCGGGTTTACTGGTAAATCCTAGTCTGTTTGGAGGTCAAGGCCTCAAGGGTTCAAACCTTACCAAAAGTGAGGAGGAGTGTGCGTCAATATTTGTTGGCCCGCATATGAATATTATATACTTTAAAAAAATGCAAGCAAAAGGTCATTGGCCCAATAGTATCCCGGTTACTGGTAAATCTTAATCTGCTCGGAAGTCAACGGTTCAAACTATTGATACACATAAAAGCCCAAGCCCGATTCCTAGTCCAGGCCTGGCATCAAAAGCCGGATCAGGCCGAATTTTTAAGGGCAGGCCTGGGCTGAAAAAGCCCGACCTTAGAAAGCCCGATCAAGCCGTTTCAAAGATTGAACTGTTAATCAACTTCTTTGTATAACAATCGCTTTACAACAAAATCGGATTTATAGGACGGCAAATATGTCAAATGTCTTAATAGGCTCATTTTATAGGACTTAAGTTTATAAAATCAAACAAATGTGCGTCCTATATTCAGGGCTTACAATAAGTTGATAGGACATTTTTGGGCATCCTAACGAGTTTTCTAGAAAAGTTTTGAAATAAAGTGTCAAGAGTATCCTTAAACACTTCTCAAAAGTGTGCTATAAAAAAGCTAATATGACACTTTAGTTCAAGAGTATCCTTAAAGAACTTGTTTAAACTTCCAAAAACGTTCTATCAACTTATTGTAACATTTTTACATAGGACACACAATTATCTGGTCCTATAAACTTAATTTCCATAGAGCAGCCTGTTAGGATATTTAGACATATTTGTATGTATATATTGACTAATCGAGCTTATGTGCATAAGAAAGGGAATAAATACCTCAAGAACCAAGGTTGTAACCATCACGGTGCAGACATTTCCGTCCACATTGACTCGATGACGCCTCACTTGCTCTAACAATTGATGCATGCAATCGGCAGGGTGGACAACGTCACCTTCTGGAGTACCCCAAAAATCGAACGATTCCGTAACTTCCTATTAACACAAATGATTACATCAAAGGGTTTGCGTATATATATTGTTCTTGATTTTTTATACAAACAGACTTCATCGAAAAGATGCAACCATAAACAAATTGATGGAATTGGTTGAATTTACACATAAAGAACTTTAAGAAAACGGTCTTTGGCCTAGCGGTATCCAGGTTACCAGTAGAGTCCAACCTTTAACCTTTCAAAAAGTCAAGGGTTCAAACTTCATCAACAGTAAGGAGTGTGTGTGAGTATTTGCAGTATATAGATATTAATACTTAAAAGAAAGAATTTTAACCTCCAACATCAGTTTAAAATTCATCTATCCCAAATAAGTGTCTACATTTCTATCTGAATCAAACCCTTAACCTCCTAGGAGGCGGGGCTATACCAATAACCCGGGTACCACCGGGCCAAATAACCCTTTGGTGAGTCTATTTATACTGATGTCAAGGGTTTCTTGTTTCGACTGAAACGCTTTTTTTTGTTCTTTTTGGCATTTGTGAAAACCCCGGCTTGCAACAGAAAAGTTAAAACTACAAATTAATGTGAACAAGATTACCTTTATAAAGGCTTGTGGATTAGGACAGTTTTGTTGCTTTGATAGCCTCAAGGTGCACTTTGCTGCAGTTTCACCATCTCGACGAGCAACTGCTTTGAAAAATTCCAACAAATTCACTCTATCGTTCTTTGAAAGTTCAGCAGTCATGCCTACATCAAGGAATACAACATGAGGCTTCGATTTGAAGATCCCTTTACGAGAAGACTTGCTCCGTACAAGGATATTTCCGGGATGCATGTCCGCATGAATGAAGTTATCGACCTGTAACAAGAGAAATTGGAGTCTTCAAATATATCAATAATATACTTGTAGGATTAAAAACGAAACCAAATCAAACGACCCCAGTGTATCCCGCACTAGAGAAGGGTCTGGGGGTGGGATGTATGCAGATTTGATGTCTTCCGTAAGGGTGCTTTTGATATCCAGGCGGAACAGATAACTTTTTAGCTGTTTAGCATTTGATAAGACAGAACTGGACATAACAAAGCAGATAAAATGACCAATTTACCCCTAATGAGCTATTTATATATTTGGATTAATTATGTAATTTATTAAATTACAATAAAATAAATATTTTATGCAACAAAATATAGCATTAGAAAGTTTTTGTCAAGACGATTAAAATGACACCAAAATAAAACATGTATGTAGTGTCCAATTTTTATTTTATACCTTTTCTATATTATTAGTATTTAATAAATTAATCAAAATATAGAAACCGCAAAAAAAAAATTGAGGATAGCAAAGTGAAGGTTTAAAGAGCATAAAATGCAATAAATAAAATTTAAAGAATGAATAAAATGTAAAGAGTGAAGACGTATTTGATGTTTTAGAAGAGAATTAAGTTTTAGTTTGAGGTTGTATTGGTAAAACATAAGCCTCTTCAGCCTGTTCCACATAAAAGTCCTGCCAAATGTGGAACAATAATCCCTTTTATGTCTTGTGAAGTGTACCAAACACACCCTAAACGAGTAAAGGATAGAGCGGTTGTTTAAGTGAAGACCCCCAGCTTGTGCAAAAGTGTGAGCAAACCAAACGAATCCACTTGAAAGTAGAGTCTGGGGGTGAGAAGTACGCAAACCATGAATAAATTTGGGTGTGTTTGGTACACGGACGACACTAGACATGACTAGACGGGAGAGAGTGAGGTAGGTGCGTGAAAGATTGTGTAAGGTTTTAAGGTTTTAATTCAACATGGGTAGTTCAATAATTTATCATTCTTGTCCCATCTCCCTTTGTCCCGGTCTAATGTTGCACCAAATACGGGACAAAAAGTTTTTGTATTGTCATGTCTATGTCTTGTCTTGTCCTGCGTACCAAAGACACCCTAGACATTCACAAGCACCTAATTAGAAAGTATTCAATTATATATATAGCAAGTGAAATATGGTTATTTTCATCGGAAAGAGATGGAAGCATTAAAGCTAACGAATACGATACCAGAAGCATCTTCAAAAGTGCATGGGTACCAATGTGAGCAAGAGAGCTTTTAAGTCGTTCATGTCCTTCAAGTTCATCAACATAATGTGCAACACTTTCTCCTTGCTCGAAAGTTTCCACCAAAACCGCAGGATGAACAAGCGGATATACGGGTTTCGGAAATGAAACATCCCTCCATCTCCTAAAGTTGTAAATGAAACGACTTAAATGAGCAGCTTCCCGCGCAAGATCCACTTGTGACATCATAAAAACCGCAAATTGTTGTACACTTTCATCCAATCTTAACCATTTCAAAGTGGGTATAAATCTTGAAATCTTGGCTACTACGTTAATGATCTCAAAATCTCGTCTAATCGATTCACCAACTCCGGGATGTCTCACTTTAACCGCAACAATTAACGGCTTGATCTGCTTTCCACGATATCTGTATTTCAAAGAAGCCCGATGAATTTGAGCAATACTCCCTGATGCAACTGGAACCTCTTCAAAATCATCGAAGATTTCAGAAATTTTACGACCGAAAGCCTTCTCAACCGTCTTTTTCGTGTAAGCAAAGCTATGCTCGGGAGCTTTGGTATGAAGTTTCGAGAGTTCCGTGCACAAATCTCTTGGAAAAAGATCTGGTCTTGTTGCTGCCCATTGACCCCATTTTATAAAAGCGGGACCTGCTATTTCTAACGTTCGGCGAACGATCCGAAGCCATCTTTTTCTAGACGAGCTACCAAAATACTCCGCAAATGGAGCCATTGCTATACTGGGCGAGAACAAAATCGCTAAATATAAAGCTCTCACCAACAATACTAAACCTTCAAATACCGAAAGGATCGATGAAATCAAGAGCGCATGCCCATCTTCCGCGTGCATGTATAAAGTATTTCTTGGCTGAAAATATTCCACGTTTTGCCCTGTTTGTGCAAATGCCATATTCCCGCACATTAACGCAAATATACCCGGAATAACCACATACGAGCGGCTCAACGCCAAACTAAATGCTTGAGAAATCCGACTTAGAGGAGAAAAACATTTCCCATTGTGAAATGAACTCCAAGATACTCTTTTTAACCCAATTTGAGCATTATGTGTGATTCTATAATTCGGGACAACACAATAATTTCTCTGAAAAGTGGTCTTTCCGAAACCGTATTCGGCATTGCATGCCGAAAATGAAGAACTTCGCCTACTATAGAGCGTATATTGCGAGTATACCCCATATTGGGAGGAACGTAGACCAATTCTATCGACTGACCCATCTTCTGATTGAATTCTCCTATTGTTTGTTCGAATCGATTGTGCAATTCTTTTAATATTTCTGACAGCCAAGAGCCTGTATTATAATTAACAAGTCAATTTCACCATTCTTAGACATTAGTAAATGATTTAACACTTTTAAAACCCATTCAAACAGGTTAATTAAACTCATAAGGAGAGTTTGAATGAAGACAATTGAGACTCAAAGCTTATTAGGTCAGCTATATATGACTATTTGGTAGTGGCTTAATGATATAGAAAGTGACTTATTCAGTAAGCTTCTAAGTGGAGTTTTATGCAAAAAGCCAAGTTTTTTTCAAAACCTACTCTCCCAATAAAAAAAACACGTTCCTTTCATCTTTGAAAAAAAAACCCTTCCCAATCTGTATATACAGATTAATCCACACAGACAACTTCATCTATATATGATTTAATGGAAAACCAACCAAACAGCCCCTTAATTTACCATATAAAGCAAACCAACCCGGTAAATTCAACTCGAAAGTAGGGTTACGTGGAATGTGTGCAGACTTGTGCGCTACCCCTTAGTTTACCATATAAAAAATGTCAAAAGGATTCTAGGGCCATCCATATTGATCAAAAAATGTATGATTCAAAATCATATATGCAACTTGATTGTTTGTCCCGAGAGAAAGATGCTAATCTTGCAATTTCTAGCTAAGTACACATAAATATATTAAAATTCACAAGCATTAAAAAAGGCATAAACTGAAACCAGGTCAGGTTCAAGGAAAAACCACAAGAAAATTGAAAAATATTAGGAACACCCTCATAACCATTCATGTGAATGGCATGTACATGTGCATACAAGTAATTTGTAAGCAATTTGCGCGGAATGCAGATGTGCAAAACATGCAATAAAACCAAGAAACAACTGCAATTACTTGTATGCACATATGCATAACGTCCAAAAGAATGGCCACCAGGTGTTCCTCAGCTACTATTTTTTTTTTGAGGTTTTCCTGAACCTCCCTCAACTGAAACCCTAGCTAAAATTTAGCTATATGATTGATGCTGCCAAGGTTAATAATGTCCTCCCAATAACCTTTGTGTTCTTAATGTTGGATCTCTACATGTACAAACCCTAAATTTTTATTACAATTTCAAAACATTTCTCCAAAGGGAAGTCGCTAAAACGTTTCATAACTCAGAAATTTCGCCGGTAATTCATTCAATAATATACATTTCTTAACAAAATCGAAGCATACAAGAAGAAATTTGAATACGAAATGTAAATAGAACCTTGACATAGCGATAATGGAGTTGATTTTGATCACGAATTGAGGCAAATTTGTGCAGGAGCTGAACCGCGAGCATTTTCTACATTTCGACTCCCCTTGATCATCTGATCACGAAATCAATTCAAGTTTTCGTTCGCTAACATAATTGATCACATCATTATCATCAAACAATGGCGGATTTAAGAGAAAAACGAAGATGATTGAAGGCTGATTTTGATTTGGGTTCGATTATGTGTTCTTTTTGGAACCCTTTTTGGAGGAAACCCTCTTGTTGGCAATGAGAGATTTTTGTACATGTAAAAGATCTTCCCAATATATGGCAGATTTTGTTTATATACTTCAGATTTACAACCAAGAAAGGTTTAGAATGAAGATGGTTGAAAAGAATCAATCGCATCATTTCTCAACTTTACAGCAAAACGTTATGAAGGTAAAAAATCGAACATTTACAGTAAAATAGTGTAAAGGTTACATTTACAACATTTTGCTATGAAGTTTAAGTGTAAAAAAAGTGGTGTCAAGGTATCACGAAAACAAGTTGATCTCACGTGATCCCAAATCATTAATCATAAAGGGGTGTTTGGGATTGCTTATTTGAAACAACTTATGTTTTTCTACAAAAACACTTATCAACTTATTATAAGTCAGAAGGGTTTAACTTCTTCAAAAACTCTTTATTACCGGTTTGGCACCGGTATAAGTTGTTTATCCAAACACTCAAAAGTGCTTATTACCGGTACCACACCAGAATAAGTCAATATGTTTATGTAGGTTACTAATTTGTGGAGGGTGAGGGTAACTTAACCATAATTCGTGTTGACAACAGTGGGACTCAAACCCGGGCCTTTTGTACAAAGGCAGGGGTTTATTACAATCTCAACCATTAAAATTTTGTGTTAACATTTCAATTTCAAGAACTATAAGCTGGCAGCCGACAAAATAATACGGTGACAGCTTTAAAAAAAATGTAGTTTTCCCCCTTTATGAGGAACCATGAAGCGGTGGTCCATATCACCGTATCATTCCATGTGCGTCCGTCCCTGGTGAGACGACTTTGTCTGAATAGAAAACAAGTCATATGTTCGATCTCAGAGCCTCTGCTAGCTTGAATGAGCCAAAAAATGTCTCCTCACATTGATGTCCTTTGAGGCTGGTTCTGTGTGGGGCCGCTTATGGTTATTAGTAATCAACTTTTTCCCCCTTTCTATTAAGACCTCGGCACCATCCTTACCCCCCTACGATTAGGCCGTAAAGAAACACTCTTGGATGGTTGAGCGAATAAGCCGTCCAGACGATTAAGCTCATTAAGTTATATACGTTATATATACAGGGTTAGGTTAACGTGAAACCAACATGTTTTCATGAAACCCGTAAGACCACTTTTTTATACTTAAAACTTCACTGCAAAACGCTGTGAAGGTAAAAAAAAAACCGAACCTTCACAGTAACAACACTGTGAAAGTTATCTTCATAACGTTTTGCTATGAAGTTTCAAATGTAAAAAAGTGGTCTCACGGGTCTTACAAAAACAGGCTGATCTCACGTGTTCTCTATATATTCTACAACATATTATTACTTTATCTAAAAATTCAACACCTCGTTGATGTGATCCGAAATGATGGTTCACAGAACCACTTTACTTAGAGTGGACTATAATTTTCGTCTGAATGATCTGTTAACAGCTATTATTTTCATTATCGTAGTTTAAAATTTACGGTTTTTATTACGATGGTTTACGACATATTGTTACGTTCGTCGTATTAACTTCTTTAGAAAAAAGTATAATAATTCAGGAATAATTTAATCATTTTTTCTTTTTTTTTTTCTTTCTAATTTTATAATAAAATCCTAATTAGGTAATTATTCAATGGGCCTTTAGATCTCAAATTGGTTAATAAAATTCAAAATACCATTACTCAATTATTTAAAATTGGGCCTTTAGTGGTATTGGAGCCCAATGGGCCTTCAATAATCTATGAAAATTTAAATCTATACTATTTTTAGTATTTTAAATATAAAATTGACTTAAGCTTTTCAGGTATGAGACATAACAAAGACTGAGAATCTTACTTGATAAATGATAGAAGAGTTTTACCTGATAAGTGAGAGAAAAAAACTCTTACCCAGTAAGTGCTTACCGAGTAAAAGACGCTTACCAACAATTTATTTTTATAACCAAGAATGTTATCCGATAAGGTAAGTGAAGGTGGTGAGTAGTGACTCTTGCCAGTAAGTTAGTGTGTACACGGGTTAGGGTGGGTCATTTTCGACATTTTTACAACCTAACCTAATATAGCGGTTTGGAAAAATCTCAACCCAATCCAACTCATTCAAAAGTATAACCCAAACCAACTCAACCCAATATGGCGGTCTGGATTAGGTTGACGTGTTAGTAGTTACATAAATTTGACGAATAAAATACTTAATAAAACTTTAGTTTATAGAATCAAACTATAGAACGTCATATCTAAAAAGATTACAGTTTATAAGACCATTTTTTTGGCATTTCAATAAGTTTTTAGAACGCTTTTTAAATAAAATGTTATATTAGTTATTTTACAGAAACATTTTAAGAAGTATCACGTAAACTCATCTATTTATAGAACACTTGTGTTCATACGACATTTTTTTTCCAAGTAATGTTGTATAAAATAATTAATACGACACTTTATTTTAAAAGCGTCATAAAAATTTGTTAAGACGCTCCTATAAACATATTGCAACTCTTTTAGATAAGACACTTTTTAGTTTTGTCCTATAAAGTATCATATTATGACGCTTAGACATTTTTTATGCATCATATAAAACCTAATGTTGTTATAGTAAGTGTTATATTTCCAGCAAAGTACAACATCAAATGAGAGTATTTATATTCATATATTCGTCAATTAAATATCTATCAACATTATTCATATTCTTTAACATATCCATTTATTGTTACTGTAAAAACGATTTCAATAATTTTCTCTTATTAATTAGATTTTTTATCATCATTCATTGATCGTGAATCTCTTTTGGTAACCTATACATTTAACTAAAATGAAATACAAACATAAACACAATAAACATTATATAAACTTTTATACAATAATAATATATATAAAAACATATATATAAAAAGTAAAAAATTATAAAAAATATATATTAACGGCGGATTAGACATGTTGAGCTAGATCTAGCCCAATTTCAACCCTCTTAATTACCGGGTTGACAATTTGCCGAGTTGGTAGGTTGGGTTTAATTAGGTTGTCAGCGGGTTAAATTGGAATGATTTTACAGATTGACGGTTTTTTATACACCCCTACCAGTAAGTGTTTGGTAAACGACACCTTAATTTCAGATTTTTTTTTATACCAGTAAGCATTTTCTCTATAGGTTTTATATACATGAAAATAAAAATTCAATTTAAAATAAAAAATACGTCATTTTTATATTGTGATATTCTTTAAAAAAGAATTAAATTTTTATTAAAAAATTAAAAAATTTGGAATTTTTAATTAAAAATTAAATAAAAAGCGCCGCTGCCGGGGATCGAACCCGGGTCACCCGCGTGACAGGCGGGAATACTTACCACTATACAACAACGACTTTGTTGTTTTATTTTATTAATTATAATATTTATTTGGATATAATTTTTGCAGTTTGCACACAATTTTTCAAGGGCTTAATTAACGGTGCTAAAAAAACGGATCAACCTGACCAACCGAACTTAACCCAATTGGAGAAAACTCAAAAAAACCCAACCCGATACAAACCGAGACATAATTGATACAAAATTAGTTCAAATCGTGTCTATTGAGTTAGGGTAATTTGAACCCAATTCAAACCGATGTCTTTTTTTTTTATTAACCTGGATATCCAATCCGCTATGCGACCGACTAAGCCCAGGATGACCACCTGCTTTGCAGATAAGCCGGAGTCACCGCATTTGAACTTCCGTGGCCACAAGAGAATTTTTATTCCTTCTTGGATTTGAACCTATGACCTTCTGGTACTTTTGACCTTTATAGCCAAGCTCAAACCAATCAGACATCACCCTTGTGGTTAATCGATGTCTTTCTATACTATGGTTTTGATATAAGTATTAAATTCTTGATTAGTATATGTATGTTAGACGTTACACCAACCTGCAATAAGCTATATACAAAATTATATTACAATTTTAAGCATAATTTTACTTTCTTATTTGCATGAATCTTCATTTTTTTAGTTTGTTAGTCGTTTTTTGTATGTTCTTAATTTGATTTTTACTTATTTTAAACACAAACAGTTAGTTAGATTGTAAAATGATGTATCAATGTTTCAACCCGACCAACCCAACCTAACCCACATGAGTTGGGTTGGGTTGGGTTGTAGCTTTGATTGAGTTGTGTTGAGTTGGGATTTATTTTTTATTAACCTGGATATCCAACTCCCTATGCGAGCCGATTAATTCCAGGGCAACCACCTGTTTTGTGGGTAGCCCAGAGTCACTGCATTTGAAACTCTGTGGCCACGAGTTGAGATTTTTCAAACCGTAAAAATTGGTTTGAGTTGTTCAAATGACTTCAACCCAACCAACTCAACCCATGTACAACCCCAAGGCTTAATCATTTCAGAACTGTACAATTTATAAAATCCATTATCAACCACTGATTTAGAATAACAGATGAAATAATCAATGCATATTTATAGGAAAACTCAAATTCCATAAATATCCCTGTCTCTCTTGTCTCCTCTCTCCTGTAACATACACACACATTCACAATTAAATATGTACATAAGACGAACACACTATGGATAAAATAAAAACAACTTTAAAAAAATTCATACTAACGTCTTCACAAATGTTGGGTTTAGATTTAGGGGTCGTTTACCAAACACTTACCCGGTAAGAGTTTAGCGGTAAACTTAACACTATCATTTACTTACTGAATAAGATTTTAGTCTACCAAAACGATATCGTATGCAACAATTTACCCGGTGAGCGCTTACCATGGTAGGAGTCGTCGTTCTCACTTACCGGATAAGACTTTTGGTCATTGTCTCGTTCTTACAGGGTAAGATTTTTAATCCTTACCATATTCATCAGGTAAGGTAAAATGACTTGGTGTTCCCTTACCCGAGTAAGCGTTTGGTAAACGGCCTATTAGTTTTGTTGCTTTTGTTGGTGTTCAATGTTTACAATGTGTTCACAAACTATTCCAAATCTTGTAGATTTATAGTTTGTTTACAAATTATAATAATATTTTTTAAAAAATATATTCATAAAATATTTATTTTATGTGCACATTTAATTATAATCAAG